ATAATAAAAGACGAAAATTTGACTTTATCTTCCTTGGTTCCTTGGTCTACCTACCCCAAATAGTGTAGTTCCGTATGCCTTATTAAAAGGAATAGTTATTTCCCAACTAAAAAAATATATTTAACTGTCTGTAAAACTTCATTTATAAACAATATTTAGTGCCTATTCAAAAGTTCTTTAGGATAGACTTTAACTGAAATAAATTTCAGTTATTAATAGAAAATAGTTAATAAATACAATGGAAAGTAAAAGCGTATAAACTAGGTTTTGTTACGGGGACTGCTCTACAGCCCTAAACACCATTGGTTCCAGTTACGATTCATCATATTAACATATTATTACGACAGCGGAAGTCACGCGACGCTGGGAGCATGGGCGCTGGAGTTTCTAGAAGGATCATGACTTATCGAGGAACCCCGCGAATTCCCGAGTGTTTGCCAGACGCCCTCTTTTTTAGTATATAAGCCCGGCAAATAAAGCCAGCGATAGAAGAGATATAGATAGATTGAAAAGATAGATAATTGAGTCAAGGGAACAGTAGGCACCGTAAGTAAAGTGTGTGAATCGCTGTGATTTATAGCGTGTGTTATAAAGGTTGTTAAGTTTAAAGTGACTGGAAATTCTGTGTACTACAAAAAGTTGTATCGAGAAAGAATAAACTAGTTTTAACAAGAAGGGACTTTTATCGCTGAAGTTTCTCGGAAAGAATTTATACCGGAAATTATCAAACAAGCAGATACGTAACAATATATTGGAAGTTCTTCTGATTTTCTTAATAACACTGGATTTTTGCGTATGAAAGCAAAAGAACTAAAGAGAGGGAAAGAAATAAAAAAAGAGCAAGGAACTGTAACACAGGAATGCTATTTCTTCTTTTTGTTGTATGAAGTGAACACATTGAAGCACGATTTATCCAGAAATTCTAATTTAGCCATTGATTAGATGTCTGTGTATTATGAGTTGCATGTATGTGGTGGAAGCAAAAAAACAGTGAAAAAACTTTGGTTCCATGTGTTATCATCATGGTTACCAATCTTTCAGAAATGATTCTTATCATAATAAAATACTGATTTTTACTTAGCGGAGTGAGAGGAACATTTACTTTAAAACAATAT